TGCGGATTCCACCCTGGCCTGTCTGGAGCAGCCCCCTCCTGGGTGGAGTCCTATCAATTATTCTTCAAAGTCGGGTTAGGCCTGGGTTCTCCAGGTGCCTGGCAGTGACCCCTCTGGATCACAGTCATATTCTACCTGTTACTTCAGGTCCAGTCACAGCTTGAGACCTGGGGGGAGGAGGTGGGATCTCCTGACCCCTGATCTCTCTGCCTGCCATCTCCAGGCCCAGGCCCCTTGCCCAAAGCTGCCTGCTGGGTGGATGAGCCCCCTTCTTTTTGGACAGACAGGTATTTAGGTCAGCCTGTGGCTCTCTGCATCCCCAAGTAGTGCTGTTTATAACATGTAAAGCCTGCTTCTCATTTTAATTTCAAAGGCCCTAGTGCCTGTGTGGTTGGAACTTAGCACAGCGCAGCTAGGAAAGAGGCTGTGGTTTCAGGGAATCAAGAGGACAAACAGCTGTGGCTTTCAGGCTTCTGTTTCTGAGGCTCAGCTCAGAATGGTAGCATTCCCCCCCACACACAACTATTTATTTACTTATTTATTTGCATTACGGGGATTGAAAACAGGGCTGCTCTACCACTAGGCTGTGCCCTCAGCCCCTTTTTATTTTATTCAGAAACAAGGTCTCACTCAGCTGCCCAGTCTGCCCTCAAACTTGCCATCCTCCCGACCCAGGCTTTCTTTCCAGCTGCTGGATCACAGGATGCGCCACCAACCAAGGTGATAGGGGTTCTTTGCAGAAACATCCTGTTGTTACTCTTGGGTGTGGAAATGGCAGGTGGTGGGCAGCTGCCTGGTGGACAGAGGAGCCAAGTGAGGAGCAAATCATTTGCCTGAGGTTGAAACACTTGCTGGGTTCTAACACACAGAAGGGAACGTTCTGGTCAGGCGCAGTGGCTCCCGCCTGTGATCCCAGCTGCTCGGGAGGCTGAGGCAGGAGGATCCCAAGTTCAAAGTCAGTCTGAGTTACAAGTTCAAAGCCACTTAGTGAGACCCTGTCTCAAAATAAAAAAATAAAAAGGGCTGGGAGGTACCCAGTGCTGGAGCACTCCTGGGTCCACTCCCCAGTATGGGGATTGAAAACAAAACAAAACAAAAAATAGAATGTTTTGCAGGAACTTTCAGAAAGACCAGGAAAGAAGTCAGCAGCTATAGACTGGAAATATGTTTCACAGCCTGACAGTTCTTAGTAGCAGCCACCCAAGATGAGCTGTTTTACATACAGTTTCTTGTTATTGGCTACAGTATTTGGTGATCTCAGCAATATGTATTAGGTGTAGTTGCTAAAATTTTACAAATTAAAATAATGAAGTCGTTATATAACTCAGAACCCAAGGACTTCCTGGAGGAACCTGAATTATTATAATGTAATCAAACTTTATAAAACCTGATATATTATTTCTTGGAAATCATATTTCTCCCCTGCAAGACTTATAAACATATATATAAATATAATTGCTGGCAGCACAATGATCTTGTACGTGAGCTCTCTCCTCTACACTCCCAGCTCCAAGTGGCCACAATTTTTTACAAAAGGAATTTTTGCATCTATGAATAACCCATGAATACATTTGCTCTGTCAGAATTAATAGAATGCATAAAATATTAAAACGTTGCTGACTACCACTCAATCTTACTTCTCCATAGATCATCTGCCTGTGTACTTTCAGAACTTTGCTATGAATATGCATTGTTTGGGATAGCTTTGTGTTTACACTCCAGCTATCATACTGTTGTCTTCCGCAGTTTGTCCTGGGTGTCTTCTACGCGGACATATTTTTTTTTTAAAATGCTGTGTATCATCCCATCCTTCCGTTCCTGTAATTATTGGGTTTTGTTTTGTTTTGTTTTGCACCAGGGGATTGAACACAGGGGAACTTAACCACTGAGTCATATCCCCAGCACTCTTTATTTTATTTTGACACACAGTCTCACTCAGTCACTTAGGGCCTTACTAAATTGCTGAGGCTGGCCTTGAACTTGTGATCTTCTTGCCTCAGCCTCCCGAACCCCTGGGATTACAGGTGTGCACCACAGCCCCAGCCTCCCCCATCCCCATTTTCCTAGTATTCCAAACATTGCCTGTAATGAGCATCCCTGTGTATTCCTCTTGTGCAGTTGGACTTTTCTTTAGAGGAGATACGAAAGAAGTGTGTTTTGCTTGTTTAATAGATAATGCCATGTTGTCCTCCAGAACTTCATTCCTCCTCTACACCCTCCCAGCAGACACTGCCTTCTGCTCGTCCCATCTTTCAGTTAAGGTTTTGGGAAGGTTGGTGCCCCTGGTATTAAAATGCAGATTACCCCGGCCGTGGATGATCAAGTCAAGTCCTTGCCGTAGCTAGGGTGATTTTGCTGGGAGCTGGGAGAGAACAGGCTGTGGGAGTTCCTGGGAAGTCAGACGGCCTGAGGACTTAGGGTACCAGGAGTGGCGTGTCTGGAAGACAGGAAAAATGAACGCAGAGCTTGCCGCTGGGGGAGGGCAGGGGAAGGAGGGATGTGAAAAGAACAGCTGCTCAGGAGCCAGGGCTCTGGATCTTGTAGACTCTCACCTGACACCCCCCCCCAGGCAGTTGTGTCTATCTTTGGGGACACTGTTGGTGGGACAGAGGTCTCAGCCTGAGCAGCTCTTGGCCAAATTCTTTCCCACTAGATACTGATCATTTCTAAGACCATGAAGACAAAGCAGAACAGTAACCAAACTGCTCACCATGGCCACGTCCCCTGTGGCCCTCTGCCCCCAGGTAAAGGTGCTCAAGAGTTTCTGGGAAGTGGCCCTCCCCAGCGCATCTCACAGCTTAGGGTCTGGACAAGGATTTCTTTTATTCTTTGGGAGCCCTTCTTACTGTGATGGAAAGAGAAGAAGAGAAGCTTCTGGACATGTGTTTTATTCTCATTTGACGAGAGGCTCAAAGCTGGCAGAGAAGGGTTTAAGACTGAATGCCATTTTTTAAAAGTTGGGTTTGAGAGATTGTACAAGATTGTTATTTCCAGAAGTTTTAAAGTCTCAACAAACTTGGTGTCTTTTCTTTTTCCTCTCCCTCTTGCTCTCTTTATTTTTTTCTTTTGGGGTAATTGGGCTTTCTAAAGCAGTGGTTTCACAACTTTGCTGAACACCAGAATCGCCTGGGGACATTTTAAAAGTCATCCCCAGTTCACACCATGTTTTAATTAAAGCAGAATGCCTAGGGGTTTCACAGTCAACCACTATGATCCAATGGATAAGAAAAAATATATAATTTTGGCTTAAGAAATATAATTTCAGGGGCTGGGGATGTAGCTCAGTTGGTAGAGTGCTTGTCTCACATGCACAAGGCCCTGGGTTCAATCCCCAGCACCACTAAAAAAAAAAAAAAAAAGAAAGAAAGAAGTATGATTTCAGGAAGTATAAGAAGACACAGTTAAATACTTAAATACTCTTTTTTCTGTGATCATAGAATATTCATGGTACATAGACATATTGGGACAAAATAAGTGCAATACTGGTACAGTTTACCAAATCAAGACTTCAGTATAGGTATCAGGGGTAGAGCACTTGCCTAGCACACCCAAGGCCCTGGGTTTGATCCTCAGCACAACAAAACAAAGTATTGAATACCAAAAGGAACCCAAGCCGCAGTCTTTCTTGACGCTCAGCTGTACCAGGAAGGCTCCTTAGTGAAGTGCAGACCCTGTCACCAGCAGACAGCACCTGCTGCCTGTCTCCTGGAGGAATTGAAGGAATTCCGGCTATTTTCGTGCCCTCCAGCTCGGGGAGTAACTGAGGGAGCTTTCTGCACCTGCTTTTGCCTAAACCGCGAGTGCATTACCTGTTGCTGTGACCTCTTACATACTTCGACCTCATCACCTTCAAAATTCTAAAAGAAAGCCCCAAACTCAGCCTCCCTGCTCAGCTGGCCTGAGGAGGTTCTCCCACAGGGTCAAACAGGGAGCCCATTGGCCACGTCCAGACCCATTGCTGCAGGGATGTGCACAGATCCCAGAGCTGCTTTCCCCGGGGAAGGAGGAGGGAGGAAAGGGATTTAAAACCAGCAGCACAGGCGGTGTGTGGGGGGGGGCAGTTACTATTACGATTCATGAATTTTTTTTTTTAGCTTTTCTTCCTTTCTCATTGGGTCTTTAAGGGGGAATGGCGCTACTCAGACATGGTCTGGTGTCTGTCCCCTGGGGAAGGCTTCAGTCTGGACAGTCTCACCTTTTCCCTGCTGGCTGAAGCCTCTCTGGACTGAAGTCACAGGGTGAGACCATGGTACGTGACTCTGCTGACCTGCAAAGGAGAGCACCACCTCACGGTCTAGGGCAGGATAGGGAGAACCACCCTGGGCCTCTGTCCAGCTGTGGGCGGTGGACACCTTGGTCTATGGCGGTGGGTGTCCTCAGGGAAGCCCTGCTGGAGGCTGGGGCGGGGCTGCAGGCTTCTTGCTGTCCTACCCTGGATGGAGCCGCTGAGCTAACCTGGATGTGGCTTCCTTTGTGAGCAGCTCCTTCCACCTTCTCACTGGGCACCTCCACCGCAGCGTCAGAGTCCTGCCTCTCAGGCATCCTCCGGGTGCACAGGACAGCAGCTGCAGTAGCTCCTCTCCGAAGGAGCCTTGTGTTTAGCCTTGTGACCTCTGAGTGTGGAATTCCACCTGCAGGCCGAGCACGCCTTCAGAGGACCTGGCCGAGGCTTCCGTGCGGCTCATTTGTGTGTTTTCTCTGTTGGATGGAGGCTAAGTGTTGCTGAAGTTCTTATATTTGGGAAGGTGTGATTGGCCCTTGTAAGAGAAGAACCTAAAGTTATGGATAATTTAATGTAATTTATATTTATTTTGGTCTAAGTAAGTGGGTAGCTACTTTTTTTTTTTTTTTTTTTAAGCCTGACAGCTAAACACTTTGGCTTAAAAAAAAAAAAGCTATAGGAAAAAAATCACACCAATGTCTCGGAACCTAGTGACATCGACCTCTGGACTCACTTCACCTGATTGATAAGCCTCGTGTGTTTTCTGTCTTTCTTACAGGACTGCCAACCAGACTCCCAGAAATCATGTTGGTAGGATCCCAGTCCTTCTCACCAGGAGGGCCCAATGGGATCATTAGGAGCCAGTCCTTCGCGGGGTTCAGTGGCCTTCAAGAAAGACGATCCAGGCAAGTGCAGATCGGTTTTCCCTGGGGAGGTGGCTTGTTGACTCGTGGGCCTGCGCAGGCAGCCTCTGCAAGACACACACACACACACACACACACACACACACACACACACACGTTTAATCTTTTTTCCATAGAAAAGATAAGGTACCCCAAATGAAGTGCCACTAATTTTTTTCCTATCCTTTGGAATTCCTCCTGCACAGAGGACCGAGGATGTAGGACAAGCTGGTGGCCCGTGTCTGGACCTCTCCACACCCCACCCTTCCCCATCCCCTATGAAGCACATTTTCCATTACATTCAGATTTCAGAGACTAGGTTTGGAATGAAGTTATGCAGTGAGTAAAGATGAAGACTAGCAGCTCGATGCTAGGGAGCAGATGCCACTCAGTCAGAGGCTGTGAAAATTGTCTCCTGGTCTCCCTGGACCATCTGAAACTGAAACAGGGGTCACTGGATGCTTTGGCTATATCCTTGTGGCTTTGAAATGTACATGTTTTTTTCTTTTTCACAACCTTCTCCCTGATCTTCTCCCCCGTGATCTTCTCCCCCC